AGAGAAGCACCTTTTGTTATTTATACAAGCCCCTTTCAACCATACCTGAGTTTATGCTAATGAGATGACTCCTAAAGGATGGGGACTGATTCCCAGAGGAACCATCCATGATTAGAGGGTTAGAAATTCAACCCCAGCTCTAATCCTTTACCCTCCATCTTGGGGTTGAGGAAAGGGTTTGAAAATTGAGTTCAATTACCAATGATTGAATGAATAATGACTTAATCAATCATGCCTGTATAATGAAATGTCCATGTGAAATCCTAAATTTGGAGAACCTCCAGGTTGATGAACTCATAAAGGTGCTGTGAGTCACCTCTAGAGAAGGCACCAAAGCTCTACCTGACCCCATTCCCCTACACCTTGCCAAATACATCTCTTCCAATTGGCTGTCACTGAGTTGTATTCTTTATAATAAACATAAGTAAATGTTCCCCTGACTTCTGTGAGCTAACAAATTATTCAATCTGAGGAAGGGGTTTGGGAATCCCTGATTTATAATTGGTCAGTCAAAAGGGAAGCCTGGAGTTTTGATTGGCATCTAGAGTAGGGATAGTCTTGTGGGATTGAGCCCTCAACTTGTGGGATCTTATGCTAACTTCAAGTAGTGTCAGAATTGAATTGAATTGTTGGGGGCTGGGGATACAGCTCAGTTGGTAGAGTGCTTGCCTCAAATGCACAAAGCTCTGGGTTCAAAAAAAAAAAAAAGAAAAAGAAATGAATTGAATTGTAGGACACCAGTTAGAGTCCTACAGACAATTTAGAAATTGCTTGGTGTAGAAAAAAAAACCCATGTTTGGTGTCAGTGGTGTTGTAAGAATACAACACTATTGTTATTTTTCAATTTTTTCTTTAAACCTCCTTTCTTAAGGGAAGGGATTGCCCCATCATGTGTTCTTTGCTGATGGGAACTCTAACCTATACAGTAGGGAAGAAAACCACTATTAGCTGCCAGAATGCGAATGGCTAGTGACATCACGGCTTCCCTGATCCAGTAAGATTGTGTTCACAGATCGGGGCAGGAGGCCTTACACCTATGCTACATTCAGCCCTTCCATATCTGATGCCTACCTCATAGCAGCACTGCGCCAGGGCAGGCAGGGACTCCTTCTTATCCAGGTATTCTGCTGTCACCTCAGACCCAGCAGGTCTAGAGCTGAGCTCATCAGCTCTGCTCTGAGAAGGTTCCCCAATCTCACTGTCCCAGCTCCTGAATTGTGACTAGGATAACTTTGACTCATGCCCCACTTCAGGCCAGCTCCCACGAGTCCACCCAGTTTTGTTTGACAAGTATAAACTCATCACTGGGCAGAGAGCCCATGTTCTTTTGAGGCTCCTCTGTTGCAGGGGGTCATATTTTGGGACCTTGGGCAGTACCTCCTAACTGCCCTCCCAACTTTCACCCTGATACTGAGGCCCCAAATGGGCCAGCCACAGCTCATCCATGGGCCCAGTCTGTTGAAATATGAGATCTTTCTTTAAAAATCTTTGTAGTACTTCCATCTGAGATCACTTGATTTGTTATGCACTGGTATCCAGACCCCTGAAAGGAGTGGCTGTGGTTCCCAAGCTCCTCTTATTATTGCCTTTGTCCTGCTTATGTGAATTCTGTGGAAGGTTTTGACTCATCTTGAGTGGCTGGATGGTCCTTTATAACGTCAACTGTTTTGACTTTAGCCAGCTCCATCCTGCCCTTGCATGCTTCCCTGTCTTTCATGTACTGCCCTGTCTGGAATAGCACTCTCCTTATCTTCTGAGAAAACACCTACTCATCCTTCAAGATTCAGGGAAACTGCATACCTACATTTAAAAGCACACCTAAAAGTGTGTCATAATTATTTGTTCATATTTCTGTCTTCTCTGCTCCACTCTGTGGTCCACGGGAGCAGGTACAAGATCTGATTTATCAGTATTCCCCCAGTGCCCAGGACACTTTAGGAGATGTTGGTTGCATGGATTCATTGATTTATTCACAAGTATTTATTCATAAACTTTCTTGTTTCAGGCATCATGCTAGATACTGAGAATAGGGGAAAATAAGGCAGACAGGGTCCCCCTGCCTTCAGGTGGAAGCAAGAAAAAAGAGTTTGGAATTACTGTGCTTCACAGGGCTGCTTTAGATTAGGGGTGTCTGGGGAGGCCTCTCTCAGAAGATACTTTGGAGTTGAGACCTGAAGGATAAGAATAGTCAGCCCTAACCCTGCGGAGAGCTGGGCAGTGAGTTCAGGGCAGAGAGGATGGCAGGTGTCCACTTACAGAAAGGACATTTTCTTGGTGTGTTTGTGAGCCCTCAGGAGAAAATGCTGCTGAAGCATGAGAAGCCTGAGGAGAAGATGTGAGGCTGGGCCGGCCAGACTCTGTAGTGGCTGTTTGGTAGATCACAGTAAGGATTTTAGATTTTTTTCAGAAGAGCAGTGGGACGTTTTTGGAGGGAAGTCTTTCAAACTTTTAATGTTATGGCTGAACAAGAGGGACTCTGCTGGTGCCATTTCTGCTACCCCTCCTTTTCCTGCAGCCTCTTCTTACATCCCAACTCAAGATTGCTTCCCTTCCCATCCCAGATTTACATACTGTGTTACTCTGGAACAGTTGGAGCTGCTCTTCTCACTGCACAATACTTCTGGTCTTTGTTTCAGTCTTGTCTGGCTCCTTCCAGGAACCTGAGGTGCCAGTAGGACTCCCCATCCCTTGTGGGAACTCCCATTGTCATTCTCCTAAGCTAACTGTGCACTAGTTCTGTCCTGAGGCCTAATGCCTATTGCTTTTGAATCTTCCTTGGCCTTTGTCCCTGTGAATCAATGCCCTGCCCCTCCATGTACAGAATGGCTGTCCTCCTTTGCCAGGCTCAAGCAAATCAGAGGCTTGAGCTTATCAGGGTTCAAGATGACACATATATGAACTCCACAGTTTCCAAAGGGTTCTCTCTCCCTGGGCCACATCCTTTAAGTTAAAGTCTAACTTTGTGAGCTGTTTTGACAAAAATATGTCCTGAGGTTATCTCGTCACTTAAAAAACAAATAATAACAATAGCTAACTAATTTTGAGCACTTATTTTGTGCAAAGGAATGTGCTTAGTGCTCATTATGAAGCCTTAATGATTAATTAATCATGACTCAATCCTGTGAATTAGGTTTTGTTATCCCCATTTTACAGATAAGGAAATTTAGGCTCAGAGATTACACAGGAAATGGTAGAGCAAGGTATGGGCTCTGGCCATAACTTTAGTGCCTATGAACTCAAGTACTACTGTCTGGTATAGTCCAGCATGGTTCCATGTGGTTCTGAAATCCTTATTTATACCATCTCCAGAGCTACTTTCATGTAGAGCCCACTTTCTTCTCTTCACTCCAAAGGTCCAACTTCACAGAGAAAACTAGGAGAGATGCTCAGAACCATTCATTTCCTGGCCTGTGCATGTGTGAGAGCCACATCTCTGTTTTCCAAAGCACTGATGCCATTAGGCGTACTCATGGATTTTGCTGAATGAGCAAACAAAGACTCCTGCTCCAGTTGACAGACATGAGCTAAGTCTCTTAGAATTACAAATGCTGTTATAAGATCTTCCCTGATACTCAGGAAACAGAAAAATGAGATGAGGCTGCAAGAAGACAGTTGAACTCTAAGAAGCAGAGTTGTCCAGAGATGGCCCTGTCATTACTTATCAAGCTCTTAAAGCGGAAATACAGCATCAGGAAAGTGGCTGTTCCATGTATCCTTGGAGATGTTCCTCATCCCCAATAGGGTGAAATTCTAAACCTTGAATAGTGCCAGATAGGGTGCATCTAAGATGGTCAGACACAGTATTCCTGGGAAGTGTTCTCTTCATATCATTGTACCTTTGGCCTTCCTAGGCAGGACATGCTAACCCATTTGGAGAAGGGAAAGTGGAAGTTGAGGCCTCTTACCTGAATCATAACCACCCAAGGAAACCCTTGCAGGTATGAGGCAAATGCAGCTGTAAGACAGTGGAGCCTTCCCCAGTGGTGGTTAGTGCTTCTGGAGCTTGGAGCTATCAGTATGGAGAGGTAACAGTTGGGTCTTGCTGCTTCTAGTGACTCTGGAGAGCCCTAGTGACTTTTCATTATAGAAATAAATGGGGGCTGGGGATGTGGCTCAAGCGGTAGTGCGCTTGCCTGGCATGCATGCGGCCCAGGTTTGATCCTCAGCACTGTTGAGAGCCACAGCCGAAGGGGCCCCAGCAAACTTCCAGCTGCCAGCAAACTTCCAGCTGCCGGCTGATGATTGGCTCACAGCGGCCCCAGCAACATCTAGCTGATTGGCTCCTCTGTGGTGATGCTCATTGGAGATGCTCATTGAGCTGTTTCCCCACCCTTTCAGACTGCCAGCTGATGATTGGCTCACAGCAGCCCCAGCAACATCTAGCTGATTGGATCCTCTGCGGTTATGCTCATTGGGCTGTTTCCCTGCCCTTTCAGACCACGGAGCTGCTCATTAGGGGACTTCTTTGGCTCTGCCCACGCGACCCAGCCTTAAGAGCAGGAGGATTGTGGGAGTGGGGGAGGCTTTTTGTGAGAGAGGCTTGTGGCAAGCCGGTGGTGGCAGTTGGGCTCTGAGGGTTTTTCCTGAGGAGCTGTTTTGTTTGGCATGTGTGGTTCTAAAAATAAAGTTAGTTTCTTTTGACAAGTGGCTCCTGAATTGTGCCCAGCCAGACTGCGGCACAGCACCACATACAAACAAAGATGTTGTGTCCGCTGATAACTAAAAAATAAATATTAAAAAAAATTCTCTCCCTCTCTATCTTTCTATCTCTCTCACTCTTTAAAAAAAATAAGTAAATGGGATCATGTTCTAAAGATTCATGAACAAAAAGCACTTGTGCCAGGAGGGGAAGACCATAGATATGTCAGAAATTATACTTCAGCTACTGGAATTCTTAATGTAAATGCATGTGTGATAATGAATTTAAAGCATTTTGTGGTCTTAAGTATGTAATCTGAAACTTCTGTAACCTTTTCTTTATTCTGTATTTGAATTTTCAGTAACAGGAAGAAGAGACTAAGCAGGCAAAAAGAGTCATGGCATTTGATGCTAGTCATGCCCTGGAAGCTGCCTTGGAGCAGATGGATGGGATCATTGCAGGTACACTTGGGATCCTGATGATGGATCTTTAGTTTTTCACATCTCAGAAAAGGTTTTCTTACATTTGTTTTCTTTCTTTCTTTTTTTTTGCATAGAGAGAAACCCTTTGTTAGGTTTAATTTAAAATAGGTTAAAGGTATGTGCCATCTCTCTTCTTTCTAATATACAAACTTGGAGAACTCTCGCATATCTCATAGGGATCTATGATACATTGTGAGTGTACCACTGTTGGGATTATAAATGCAAGACCGTTTAGGTGCAATGAGATTGTTTCTATTTTAAAATTTTCAGAGCATACCATGACTTATTAGAGTTGAGCTGAAACTCAAAATTGAGCAGGCTTTGCCACCTAGTCAGTATTCACTTCTCTAGCTGTTCTCCAATATGTTTAGAAGATGGGAGGCAGTTTTGTACTGATTCACCTAATAATATTCTATATTGCATAAGAAGCCATATTGATTTTTATACATCTCAAGTATTTTGTCTTAATGTTTTAATTGGCCAGTAGGGGACTTTCTCTAGAAGGGAGCTGGCAAAATTGTGGGTAATTAAAAAATATTGCCAGTGGACCATTCTGACTGAAGGGAGCAACCAGAAAGTTATACTGGTTATAACAAATTTTTTCCAAAAGGCTCAGGGTCATCTTTCTGACCTTGCATGATATAGTCCAATGGTCTTATTTGCAGACAGGGTATGCTTCTTTGGGTCTCAATTATCCATTGTGTGAGCTATGGCTGGAGGAAATGAGGAAAGAAGGTATGGGGCTGAATGCAGCTTGACCCCAGGAATTGCTCAGGATACCTGACACTGCCCCTGTTTAGGCATTTCCTCTCTACATAGTGCAGAAATACATCTGACTCACAGAGGACTCTGGATGTTGGAGCCTGGAGTGAGGGAGGTTGTCTGTGTCTCATAGCTTCATTATATTTTGGGTAGCTCTGTAACATGGTCTAGCTGTCTTCTGTCAGGCTCTTAATTTCTCTGTGAACAAATGGGCCCTTAGGAGGCCATGACTAATGTCCTGATTTTCAGAGTCTCCATAGATTAGGATGTGTTGTTCTAGGTTAGGGTATCTGATGACTTACTGAGAAGAAACCAAGAGAGTGGATTTCCTAGCCACACTTAGAAAGTCTAATGGAAGCTCCCAGAGGCTCCTTTCCATGCACTAAGAGCCAGAGGATCAGACCTTCAGATTGGCTGAGGTGGTCAGAACTTCTAATCCCCTTGCTGAGGAGTGAGCCCCTGGGAGAGGGAGGTATGAGGGATGAATGAGAAGACTGTCCTTTTCCCATTGTATTGCCTTTGTTCCTCTGGCAAAGATCAGCTGACTATGTTTATATGGAACTATTTCTGAGCTCTATAATCTATTCCACTGATATATTTGTCTTTATTTATGCCAATATCACACTATATTGACTACAATAGGTTTATAGTTTGTCTTAAAATCAGATCATGTCAGTCCTTCAATTTTGTTTTTCTTCGATATCGTGTTGGCCAGCCTGGGTCATTTTCTTTACCCTCCATAAAATCTTTAGAATCAATTTGTTGATATCCACAACATAACTTGATGAGGTTTGATTGGAATCACATTGAATCTATAGATCATGTTAGGAAGAACTGATATCTTGACCATATTGAATTATGGAGGAATGAATAAGACACTTCCTAAAGAAGGCAGCCTTTTGTGGCATTGGTGCCTCTTCCTGCCTCTTAATTTATCCATGTAGGCATTCCTAAAGTAAGGTAGCCTCTGGCAAACCCCTGTATTTCTCTGAGAGAGAATTTTTTAACTGGATCATAAAGGCCTTACCTTGGCCCAGGATCTTTAACTGAAAATCTGGGAAGGTTGTGGAGGGAAGGGCGTTAGGTATAGGTTGTATGGAACCTGGGAGACCTAACCCACTGACCTTCCAGAATAAAGTGCTCCCTCCTCCTCCCATTTCCTTGCTCCTCCATCTTGGATTCCATTTGGATGGGCTCCCTGGACTTCTCAGTCTAGAACAGGCATGAGAGCTTTATAGAGAGAAAATCTAAGATATTCCAAGGCATTCTTTAGAGATTGGTTCTTTGCAGATTGGTAGGGAAGAATACTGGTGGGTAGACTACAGGTATTGGTTCTGATCCTAGCCACACTTTTAGAAAGTCTGATTTGGAAGCTCCCAGAGGCGCCTTTCCTTGCGTTGAGAGAAGAGATAAGAGCCAGAGGATCAGACCTTCAGACTGGCTAATAATAATAGTTTGTGCCTCAGTTTCCTCATATATTTAAATGGGAATAATAATAGTACCCGAATTAAAGGGTTGTTTGTTAACCCATGTAAGGTGCTTAGAAAAGTGCCTGGCACATAGTAAGCACCATAAAGTGTTAGCTCTTGATATGCTGATGAAGGACAGGAAATCTTTATCATGTTGAGTTTTCCTTCTCTAAGGATACAGTAGGCTTCTCATATATTAAAACCCTTATGTCTCCCATCTGCATTTTGTGGTTTTCATTGTATGAGGCTTGCGTATTCACCACTGTACTTGCTCAAGGCCTACAAGATTGATATATAGTTTTCTGAAATATAAATTAAATATTTCTGAAAATATAAATTAAATCACATATCTCCCCTCTCCAAAACTCTTATTGGCTCCCATCTCAGGATAATATCTAAAATCCTTATCATGGCCGGCAAGGTCATAATGTGATTTGGCCTTTGCTGTCTTTATGGCTATATCTCTTCCACTTCCCCCTGACTTATCTCATTTTAGTCGCCTGCACTGTCTGCCTCAGGGCCCTGGTGCTTGCTGTCCTATTTCCTAGAAAGCTGTCCTCCAAATCCACTCAGATTCCTGCTGAAATGTCACCATATGAGAAGGTCTTCCCTGACTAATACAGCATCCCATTTCACTATCTGACCTCATAATCTGTTTATATGTTTTTATATTATTATCATCACCTTATCTATTACATTCATGTTGGTCTCTTTGTTTATTGTCTGCCTCCTACACCAGATTTAAAAATTTAAATTTACAAATTTAAATTCTATGAGGACAGAGGATCTGCCATTATCTCTCCAGTGCTTTGATTGTCTGTAGCACACATAGCTATCTAATACATATTTGTCACATGTTTATTTTATTTACTTTTGTGAATAGGATGTCCTTTTCATTGGTTAGGAGTTCAATATTGGTTTCTGTATCTATCTTGTATTTGGCTGTTTAGTGAACTTTGTTCTTTTCTCAATTTGTGCCTTCCTTTAGATAATTCTTGTGGAATATCAAATCACTATTTTTGAAAACTCAGTAGTTGGTAGGTCCTGTGAACAATATCCTGTGTTGTAATTAGCCCACACAGATATTTGACAGATAATTAAATTTTGAAGTTATTAGTGTCTGGAGAGCCTGCAATCTCTTCTCTTTTTGATGAAAGGAACTATAATTATTAGATGCCTTTATTGATGACATTTTTTTCTCAAGGTTATTCATATACCATTCTCATTTTCAAGATGGCTGGGCCTTCTGGGCCAAAAATAAGGAACTTTGGTGGTTCTTAATGTAGTCCACAGAGTTCAACTGTTCAGGTTTGTATCCCAGCTCAACCACTTGTTACTGTGAGATCTTTAATAAATTATTTAATTCTTCTGGGCCTCAGTTTCCTTATGGATAAAATAGTAGTAATAATAGTACCTATTTTATATTATTGTAAGGATTAAAATAATGCAAATAAGGCACTTAAATAGTATCTGATACTTAGTAAGTGCTCATTTGGTCTAAATTATTACATGTTTTATTGATATTGGTATTAATATTATTTTTATCACCTTATGGTATAATATAACACGGTATGTTTTTACACAGTGCTGGTAAATGGCAGTACTAAAATTTGCATTCAGGTTCCTTTCATTCCTGGGTTGGTCTTATGTTGATGTTTGGGGCTGTCTGTAGGAGAAAAGAGTTCACAAAGAGGAGGATGCTGTCATGTTCTTGGTCATAATCTCTTTAGCTTGAGTGGTTTTTGTTCTTATTACACATTTTCTTTCCAAACAAGAGTCCTGCTGAGGGCCATTACCAAGTAGGAATGATGCAGCATCGAAATTTCCTTGCCAAGCGTACCCCATGCTGCTTAGAGGACATTTGATGGGACATTGCATGCATGCTTTAATAAGGTGACCTTGCTCAAGGACCAAGGCGGATCCAGGTTTAGAGCTGATCAGGTTTGAGGAAGTAACCGGCTCCTTGAGTTTAAGGCGTTGCCAGTTTAAGATAATGGGTTTTAGGGAAGTTAGAGGTTGAAGATTATTGCTGGGATTATGGTGTTCCTGCTGCTTGTTCCCGTTGAGTTCTCGTGAGATTAAAATGGGATTTGGAGATAGCCTCGTGGAGTAGGTGAATTGTGCGGGCAGAGAGAACACGATTGCCCCTGGACCTGTGTGGAGGCGGTGTGAGAGCGGGAATAAAGAATTGCTGTTTGAACCTACAAAGGTGTGTGGTGGCTCGTGATTCTGGTGCCAAGCCGAGACATTGGCCTTGGCAGAGTCCCATTACTTAAAAGGTGGCACTGCTGGAATGAAGATTGAAACCCTGTCACATATTATGATATCACAGATTCTGCAGAAGTGATATTTTTATGTGAAGATTTAAATCTTCCTCATATTAATTTGAGGTTCAATAACATCAGGCAATGCTACTACCACTACCACTACCACTACCAAAATACAGTTGCTTTTGCATCTGGTGAGTACCCAAGTACCCAAGGACTGTATTCTCTCATGTTTTGAAAAGGCAATTCATTTATTTCCATAGAAGAAATTTTTGTGGGCTTCCTGTACCACCCCCCAATAGTAGCTATTTATAAAGAAAAAAACAACAACAAAGATTCTCACTAAAATGGATATAATTTCTTCAATAATAATTATTAATGATCATAATACTACATGATAAGGAATTTCCCTTTATAATTAATTTATATTATAATAGGTTACTGTTCATTTTCTAAAACTCTTTTCAATAGTACATTTTGA